TTATTGATATATTCTATAAGTTAGTTAACAAATAATTTTATACTTTTTCTTTTAAAGTTTAAGGGATGTTATTGGAATGTACTAAAAAGGAAAAAATAAATAAATTTGCTAACTATTAACTTATTAGCATCAACCTTCAACATTTCACAACTAATACAGAGTTTCACTATGAGAAGTTTGAGAATCAATCGTATCAATCGTTTGGTTTCTTTATCCAGCGGCCACATTTTAAAATTTTCTCGTTGTTCTTTTATTCAAAGGTTTTGTATCTTCAACTCAATGTATGATATTAATCTTGATATGAACTTTGAACATTAGAGCTGAGGAAGAAATACCTAATGACGAACAAGGATCAAAATACGAGAGTTCTTGGACTCCACTTCGTTCACCTTCAACAATAATTATTACAAACTGGTGGCGGCAGGGTTTTGATCGAACTAGGCTTGTTTGGCAATAAGAGTACTAGATGGATTGTTGAAAGGTTTGCAGGGATCAAGATTTGTTGTGTAAAGAGAGTGCAACTTCTATGGTGAGGTTTGGAAATGTCGAGGTGGTGGAAAATAGAGAAGTCAAAATGAATTGCTGAATTAGTAAATTGAGATAGAAAGAGAGAAAAAATAATTAAGAGAAGAGAGAGAAATCAGAGGGAAAGAAGCAATTAAAAACCGGCTGGAAATTAATATTACATACACTTCAATTCATGTGATTTCATTTTTTATATTTGTAATTTTTATATGAATTATGATAAAGATAATAAATTTAAGGAATAAATAGCAATTTATAACTTGTTTGGTTAGTAGTTATAACACATTGCAAATATTAGACGTGTGAAATTATTACCCAGCAAATATTAGTAGATGGTGTAGCACAAGACTTTCCAGGAAATGAAATGGATTAATTTGATTGCCTAAGGTGTTTTGACTAACATTTGGCACTGTGGGTATGTTATAATTAATTTAATTAAGGAAAATATTTAGGTAATTTACTTCAGCTTATTTCTTTCCAGAATATTTATATATATTTTTATAGTACTGTATGTGTCATATATATATATATATATATATTTACATATATAGTTTATATATAACTTGTAAAAAGTTTCTAGTTTGTCAATCATACTGTGAAACCATATATACAAGAGAAGAGACAAATATGATCATAAATAAACTAGTTTTTTCAATCTACCAGACATATATGGTTTATACCTACAGAAATTTTTTCCGGCTATTCAACTAATAAATTTGAATGGCCGGCTTTCTCGGCCGTGAATTTCAACCCATCACTCAATGAATACATTATTGTTAAGCTTGGCTACATGAAGAAAACTCACCTTGCAAAGCAGAAGTCAGAAGCATATATTTTAGAAGCACAAATCAGAAACAATGCCAATCTCCAGCTGGTTTAATTTTGTCCTCTCTTATACTTAAGAGACATTCACAAGAAGATAAATAGATTACGTGAATACCAAAGGTTAATATTCACCACAAAGAAACAAAAAATCGATTATCACAAACCCACAAGAAACAGAGCTTGGTGACAAGTGCTTTTTTCTTCATCAACCCATGCAATATAAGTACCCCTGAACTTTCTCTTTAAACACAGCAAAGTTTTTTTAACTCTCAAGTCACCTCCATGGCTAAGGCTGGTTGGTCTCTCTGTTCCCTCATTCTTGCAACACTTCTACTGCAATGCTGCTCTCTCGAAGATGATAGGAAGGTTACACATCTTTCTTCTTCTTTTCCCTATACTACACATATCTTAGTTATGTATGTAGCTACTATTTATGGATGAAAATATGTGCATGTATATAAACTCTGAGTGAAAATTTGATTAGTTAAATATAATAAAGCTAAATGCATGCTTGCATATACAAGGTTCATATTGTTTATATGGGAGATCGACCAAAGGACAGCGCATTGGTGGCATCGACACACCACAGCATGCTAGCACATGCAACTGGCAGGTTAATTTTGGTCCTCTTAAATCACGATAAATCTTAATTGAAAGATGCACACGCTTGTTTCAAAGAGAAATGAGCCACTGAGAATGGTCATATAATATCCATTTGCAGTAAGCGTTTGGCTAGAGAGTCACTTATCTATAGCTATGGGAAGAGCTTTAATGGATTCGTCGCCAAACTTTCTGACACAGAAGTTGCAAGGATTTCAGGTACATAGATCACATCAACCTTGTATTGCGTGTGTGTGTGTGTGTGTGTATATATATTGTGAATTGATTCCTTGATTTCTAGCTCTACTTACTTTTGCCGGTATTGAACTACAGATATGGAAGGCGTAATTTCAGTGTTTCCCAACACGAGACTGCAAATTCACACTACAAGATCATGGAATTTCATGGGCTTTGACCAACCACATTCAGTTTTTGGTACCGAATCAGATGTCATCATTGGACTGCTAGATACAGGTAAAAAACAAAACCACTTACAAACGTAAGTGTATTGATACAATGTAGATACTGACGTCTGACTTTCTATATGTTACTGATAAGCTAACTAATTATTAACTCTCTATTGATTAACAACAAAGGTTTACATAGTTCGCAAGAAAGCAAATATATATATATATATATTTACCAGAACATTGCCCGTAATTATGCAGGAGTTTGGCCTGAAAATCCAAGCTTTGCCGATGATGATATCGGCCCACCCCCTGCAAAATGGAAAGGGATATGCCAGGGAGCAAATAATTTCACCTGCAACAAGTAAAATTTCTCTTTTCTTTGTTGATCAGTTGGATTTAAATTGAACAGAGAGGGAAGCTAATTGATCATAAAATCAAAACTCTCTGCAGCAAGGTCATTGGAGCTCGGTTCTACGACATAGAGAACATATCCTTACCTGGTTGGGACATAAATTCACCAAGGGATGCAGAGGGACATGGCAGCCACACTGCTTCAACAGCAGCAGGCAGAGAAGTTCAGGACGTAAGCTACTTCGGTCTTGCCAAGGGTGTAGCTAGAGGAGGAGTCCCAAAAGCAAGAATTGCCGTATATAAAGTGTGCTGGCTACAAGGCTGCACTGTGGCAGACATTTTAGCTGGGTTTGAAGATGCAATAGCAGATGGAGTTGACATTATTTCGGTTTCATTAGGATCAGACTGGCCTTCCCCATACCACAAAGACCCCATTGCTATTGGCACTTTCCATGCCATGAGAAATGGGATTTTAACTTCTTGCTCTGCAGGAAACAGTGGGCCGTACAGAGGACAGGTCTCAAACTATGCACCCTGGGCACTGACAGTGGCTGCAAGCACAATTGACAGAAGTTTTGTCACCCAAGTTGTCCTTGGAAATGGGAAAACCTTCCTGGTTGGTTTTGATATTCAATTCTCTTAAAGCAACTAACTTTCTTCTGGATTCGATTCAGTCTATTCTTGACTGACGAATGTTCTTTCTTGCTTGCTTCTTGAAAATTAAAAGGGAACATCACTCAACTCCTTCAATCTTACAAAGACAACATTCCCATTGGTATATTCAGCAGATGCAGCAAATTATACCTTGGGGATTGATGATGAGATTGCTAGGATCTGCTTCCCTGGAACTCTGACTCCACTTAAAACCAAGGGAGCAATCATCCTCTGTGATGTCCTTTATGATGGCTCAGTAGCCTTAGATGGCGAAGCTGTAGGTGTTATAATGCCTTCTTCTTTTGAGGATTTAGCATTTGCTTTCCCTGTACCAGTGGCAGTCATCAGCTACGAAGATCATGATCTCGTACTCGACTACATCAAATCAGCAGAGTAAGCCTATTCATTTGCTTTGTTCATAAACATCCTATTCTCGGTATATTTTTGAGGTTTAAATCCTAGTATCCAAAAGTACAAACTTTGAGATATCAGATTTTGGTACAGTAGTTTGAGCTCAAAGAATCTATTGGCTTAAGTGATGTAGGCATAAGATTTACAAGTTATAACTTCCTTGGATGAAACTTCAACTGGTTCATGAAAGTGTTAGTGTTGGCATCCTAATGGAGATTTTGATTCTGGTTCAGGAATCCTACAGCAACTATTTTGACAACCGAGCCATGGACGGATATCATGGCCCCTTCAGTGGTCTTTTCATCAAGAGACCAGCCCATCAGTCTATATCCTCAGGTATATATAATCATTCACTCTCTGTATACAATTTTCATAAAAGAGATTTTTGATACTTACCCCGTCTGTACAAAATGCTAAAACAGGTTTTTAGCAGAGCACTGCAAGAAACCAGCTCTCCGTGCTTCGTTTCTGCAATAATACTCAATTCGGGATTGTCTAACATGGATTTCTTTGAATGATAAAACAGCCTGACATTACAGCACCTGGAGTTAACATTCTTGCAGCATGGTCTCCCCTTGGTGGTGCTTCAGTTTCGCCTTCTGATAGTCGAAAAGTAGATTATTTCGTGATCTCTGGCACATCCATGTCTTGCCCTCATGTTTCTGGGGCTGCAGCATATGTCAAGTCCGCCCACCCAACATGGTCTCCTGCTGCTGTGAAGTCTGCCCTCATGACTACAGGTAAATGGACATAAGCCTTTAAATAATTAATTAATTCTTGTAAGCTAAACCTGACAGGAGATATTAGTAGCATCCAGTGGCGGAGATTCAGATAAAAAATATCTCATCCTCACATGTTTTGCTTCTGTAGCTAAAGTCATGGACTCAAGGAAGAATGAAGATGCCGAATTTGCCTACGGTGCTGGCCATATTGACCCACTGAAAGCTATAGACCCAGGTCTAGTTTACGATGCAAGTGAGGCGGATTATGTGGATTTCCTGTGTAAGGAGGGTTACAACACTACCCTTGTAAGAATTATCAGTGGTGACAACAGCAGTTGTCCGAGTGACCAACCTGGCAAGGCCTGGGATCTGAACTACCCATCATTCAGTCTCTCATTGCTTGACGGAGAGACGGTCATGGCTACTTACCCCAGGACAGTCACCAATGTAGGCCCAGCCAACTCAATTTACCATGCCAAAGTGTCAATGCCTTCGCCATTTACCGTCGAAGTAGAGCCAACAACCCTCAGCTTTTCAGAGGTTGGAGAGAAGAAATCATTTACGCTAAAGATTTACGGATCTCCCATTGTCAACACTCCCATTGTCTCAGGCTCACTTGAATGGACAGATGGGCATCATGTTGTTAGGAGTCCCATTGTTGTCTTCAATAACATTCCTTCCATTTGGGCATCTCTGGATGATCAGTCTGCAATGAGCCATAAGAAGTATACTGGTTCATGGAACGGCACTACCCCCTACCACAAGAATGGGATCTTCAGGGCAATGAAGAAAAGAGCCTAAAGCTATTGTTTCTGTCCAGTTTGTTGGCATGCAGAGTCAACCAATATATGCACGTCTCCTGCTAGAGAGCCAGTCCTGAAGCTTTTTTTTCTTAATAAAGTTTTTTGCTTCTCATAAGTCTACCTGAATATTGATTGCCAGAGATTCCAATTCCATGCATAAAATAAATTTTTGTTTTCCCTCTTCCAATTAATAAACATTTTATTAGTGTATCCAAAATGTGAGTCTCTCCCGAGCAGATTACTAATGCTTTGCTGCTTGTGTTTGCAAATAGAAGACAAATAGTTAAACATTTTCCTAAGCAGCAAGCTTACAATTAACATATGCTGCAAACATGAATCACTATCCCAACAATAATTAATTCAATTATCACATCCCGGGGGAAGAGAGGGAATTTGGAGTTTTTAATGAAAAGGTCGGTATTGTTTATTTCAAAAATAAAAATGAAAAGGTAGGTATTGTCTATGGCAAGAGTAGGGAAAAGTACAGGTAAAGAGGATAAGACAGCCTCTAAGGACGCCGAGAACAAGATAAGCTAAGCAGAAATATTCAATACAAGATTGCACACAAATTCTTTGTAACAAGGTCAAAGAAACATCTCTTGTACACCCATAAGCCCTGGCCCAAAAAGAAGCCAAGAAAGTTATTTTGTACCAAGAAGTAGGAAAGAGGTATATATCCTTCAATATTCAGCACTTTGTTCTAAGCACCGAAACCCGTAACCCATAACCCAATAGAAAGAGCAGTTTTCTAAAGGATCCAAGCTCCCTTTTCCACACCCACTCCCTTAAGGGATGAATTTCAGAGAGCAGTCAAGGGAGGAGGAGAAGGGCACATGATGCCAAAAGGATTCTAGAAAATATTTCTTTCGTGTACAACCAGGCCAACCATAGTGTCGTATAGTTCAATTACAATCCATGAACACGAAAAAACATGTGAGCTACCATTCCAGAAAAATTTACTTGGAATCCACTAGTAGCAAAATTGATTGAGATGAAGGATGACAAACATGCGAAGTACACAGTGGTTCTAGATCAACTTACAAAACCAATTCAACCTTAAAAACTCTGCCTGTGTTCAAGCAAAAATTACATCTGAACGGAACACATACTTTACACCTTTCTTAACATTTCGAGCTTCATGCAACATACACTTGTCCCCATGAATGTGTAGAAGAGCCATCCCTTCCAAGGGAGCAACCTACAGAGTTCAAATTACATAAATAACCTCCTAGATTCAACTCAATGTAACCAGAATGCAAACTCAAAACTGAGAAGATATTATAGAAGCCATGGAACTAACAAACAGAAAACAAAATAAAGCATCATCTCATTAAAGGATTTACCTCAGCCACCACTCCATTCCTTGAACCATAGAAGACAGTTTCTCCTCCAATAAGTGGTTCAGAGGAAGAGTCATTACTGGGGTTATTAGAATCACTTCTACCTTTGGGCCTAACTTTAACACCTCCACTCAAGTATATCAACAAAGTGTAATGGGTGCGCTTTCCCCCTCCAAGGTCAACACTTTCATCAATATGACGCCCAAACTGTTGTCCAACCTTGTACCTGAAAGAAAATTCATTTCATCTTTATGACTCCAGGGGCATTGAAGGAAGAACAATGTGAGTGTTCATTTCCATCATCCACTAAAAATATAGTGAATCCAATGAAAATTATATGATTCTTTCTTCTATTCATGGTCCAAAGCTTGGAAGGCAGAACTTAACAGGCTAACTGTATCAGTTATATATATAATCTATATTCCATATAGATGGCTATTCCTTTCATGTTTTACTCAAATGTAACAGCTATTCCTTATTTAGTCTCCATTCAGCCAACCAAACAAGCCATAATAAAAAAAAACCTATAAGAATGAAATTAACACATGAAACTTCAACTTAACCTGTAAAATCTGATGTTTGGATTCAAGCCGACAGCAACCTTTCCACGAATTTTAATATCAGAGAGTAAGTTGCAAAGCCCAGATTGCCATATTGTATCCACAAGAATAGGATCATTCACAGAGATCCTATCATTATCTCTATATGCTTCACCTTTAGTTGGACCAAGACTTCCTTGGTGAGCAAAGCCAATCGACTCTGCCGCTTTAATAAATGCCTTCGATTCAGCAGAAGTGAAGAAGTTTGGAACCTGAATGTCTTAAACAAAGCTAAACTATTATAAACTAGAAAAAATTAACATGTTTAAGAGAATAAATTTTTATCTAGTTTCATACAAGGTTAGAAAAAGTTTGCCCTATGCTTTAATACACAAACTACACCATTCATACAGAAAAAATTCAGTCTCCTAACTTCAGTAAGATTGCAAGAATCCATCAGAAGAACACATAAATGAACATCATTCACTTCTTGGAGCCAGCTGGGTATAAACAAAAACATAATAGTAATTGCTTCACGTAGGACCATATAAGATTTTTCCACAGCTATAATTATAGCTGTTTAACTCTTACACTCAGCTAAATAGTTTTTCTCAACATCTTGACTAGCATCCAATTTGATCTTGCCCCCATTAACCCAACACCTTCAACCAAAAATCACAGAGAAAGCTCCAGGGCAGGAAAATTTTCTGCATCCCTTGAATAATACTGAATCAACTCTTTTCCTTTTTTTTTTTCCCAAAAGCATTGAGGCATCTGAATATCCTACAAAACCTGACTAGCAATCTGCTGTCCAGTTCATTCATCTTGGGTTTCTAATAATGTGCAAAATTATTGAATAACATGAATTCATTTCCCAAACAAAATTATGATCTCCTGGCCCAAAGCAAACCCAGATAAATCTAAAGTCAAATCACATTGAAAAATCTAAAACTCCCGAATCTCCAGACCCTCCTGCCCCACTAAATGGAGCTGAAACCTTTCAAATTCGCTTGCACATTTAATTTGACTAAATTATTAACAAAAGAAGAAGCAGCAAAAAGGAAGCACAATAGGCAAATTAGAAGAAAAATAATCTCCTCATTCCCATCTACAATTAACCATGAATTTAACACCTGAAAATCAAGTTGACGACCTTAACACACAACCAAGAACCTGAATTAGGTTAAACGAACTCTGTCTCAAATGATTCTAAATCAAAGATAGGCATGCGAGCCATTAGAGCAAAATAAAATATACATATACGTACGGTGAAGAGATCGGTGTCCTTAAGGCGAGCGACTTGGAGATTTTGCTTGGGTTTGATAATTGGCCACTTAGTTATGGTTGTTGTCGTTGCTTTCTTGACACCTGATTCTTTTCTCTCCGCCATTTTCCTCTTCCTCGTCTGCGTTCCTGCCATACAGGAAATGAAGGAGGTCGCCAAACAAGACCAACTTCCGGTCGCTGTCTTCTTGGGCTTTTATCGGTCGAGTGGTAGTCGCACTTGGCCCATTATTTGGGATTTTCTGGACCAAAACCAGATACAAAATTGTACTAGCCCAAAAAAGGTGTAAAATTAAAATTATTTTCTTGAACTTGGTTCATGCTGATTTGATTTTCAATACAATTTAATTAGTTTCACTTGTTTTTAATTTTACAACCATGAATATATATTTCAATTTTTTAATAATTTAATTATGAAAATATTTGATTAATTTTTAATTATTTCTTTTATTAATTGCCATATGACAAGAAAATACAGTCTCAAACTGGAACACGTACAATTTATATATACCGAAGAGTTCCAAAACTTATGACTTCAAAATAAAACTTTTGGAGAAAAAAAATATAATTACTAACTATTTAATTAAGACACAATTTATAATTAATTTTAAATTATAGTGTATTATCTTTAAAATTTTTATCATATTTGTATTCTTATACATGTGGCTGTCTACCTCGAGTCAATCTCTCTGTTTCCGCTGCTTCCCTTTTCTTCCGTTTTTTCTTCTCCTTGCTCTGGCTTCTGTTGTCCCCTTTGTAGCTGCTGCGTGCACGTTATCTCCTGCCTCTTTCTTCTCTGCTCGCGCTGATACAACCTACTTTTCAGAGAAAGCATGGTCGATCACGATCATGAGGAGGTACTAAAGCAAAACGGTGACGTTTGGAGCTATGTGGATTGAGTTTGGGCTGTAAATGGACATAAATGGGCTTAGGTGGGTTTTGAGCTTAATGGATGAAATGGTTTGGGTGAATTGGAGATGGATGGGAAAGGAGTAAAAATTGGGTTGGGGTTTGGTAGAAATGGGCTCAAGACACAATTAAAAGCCATGAATGTGGGGTCACAAAATGATTTTATAATATATAAATATATAATAATTTCAATTGACTTATTTTCATTCTCAAATATTTACCTTCACATGTTATGTCAACTTCTCTTTTGCTTGCTACTCTATGTTTAGACTATTAAAGAGAATTTTAACTATAGTTTTATGCCTGTTAAATTGGGATATTGTTTGTTTTTACCAAACATTTTAAAGGATTAACATTGTGAAAGCTTAAATATTTTCAGCTATCTTGTACAACAAAATTAACACGATGAGTTTTGATAGATTGACCTAAACTATGGATTATATTAGTCGTTTTAAAATACTTATATCTTAATAACTTATTACATATGCTTTAAAATTCATTTCTTTGAAAAATTATACTAAAAAGTAAAGATATTCTCTCTAAACTGTGTTGTAAATGGGTTGGTAATGGTGATCCTATATACATATGAGGATGACTCTTCGGTTATTAATCTTTCTTTATTTTCTTAATATATATAAATATATAGATAAATAGATTTAGATTTAAATGTTCAATTGAGATTTTTGCTCTAAAAATAATAAATGACATAAGAAATTATTTTCTTCCTTCATTCAACTGTCATTGCCAATGTCTTACTTTATTCATTATAATAAATGACAACATAGAATTTAAACTTATTACCAAAATTGACAGATTCCATCTTGATTAATTATTAATTCTATAAATATTTAATCATATCCAATATTATTTCAACTACAGATCTACGACCATAAACGTTCAAAATCAAAGTATAATAAATGACTTATCAATTACTATGATGCTTTTAGGTTTAAAAATTTTTTTATGTCTCATCAAAATAAGAGAATACTCTATTAACAGTTTAAGGTAATATTAACTATTAAAAATTCTCAATTTGATCGATTCAATGATTATATCTCCATATATATCATCTACCTATGTGATTTAGTTAATGAGATCAACTAATATTTATCTTATAGAGATTATTACATATATATTAATTTTATCGGATCATTAATGTTCTATTTTAATTATCCAACGACTAAGAACATTTTAAATTAAATAATAAAAAAATTTACTTTCATTATCAAGATCTCCATCTTGATGTAAAACCTATCAATTTAATTAAGTACTTTATAATATAAATTAAATGATAAGATAATAAAATACTATTATCATATATTAAAATAAATTATCAAATAATAATATATTCAATATATTACACGAATAATTATATCATAAGCATAACACTTATATCTCCAACAATCAGTAAGTTTGTAACATTTTTCCTTTCCTTGTTTATTTTTTTTTTAATATTTATTTTTTTCATTCATTTTAGAATTGTAAATTCAATTAGAGGGATGGATTTATTCTAGGTGTTTATAGTTTTGATATTGCATATGTTGAGTGGATTTTAGGAGTTGATTCGATCATCTTCGTACCTTTCCACGTCATCTAGTATCAGAGCTTAGGCTCCTACAAACCCAAATTTATCTTTATTTGCTTTTAGCATTTTGTTCATTAACAATTCAAATTAATTTTTGATTTGTTCGTATTGCATTTTACTTGAATTCATATATATCTGTTTAATTCAAATAGTTCGTATTATTATTAAAAAAAATTATATATATCAAAAATACAAAAAATACCTCAGTTGCACTCTATAAGGCAAATGACACATTGTTTGTGTTTTACATCACAAAAGCAGAATAGCCGCATATCTAGTGAATGGAAATCATTTGAGAAATCGAAGGCAAAATATGTTACCTAATTAGAGTGAGCAAAAATTTTTGTTTTCATTCCGTACATTATACACATTTAATTTTCAAATTGCATTTATATAATCTACATCAACGTTGCATGAAGAAACTTGACCAATCGTAGAGCGTAGCTGACAAATTGGTAGTAGTATAGGTAAATACACCTTTTGATTATATCCATTAGGATTGATCAGATTCCTACGGATCAGTCTGAATTGTCATTCTTTGTTATCTATGCTTCTATCTTTTATTTTACTTTTGTTCCATTATAAAAAAAAAATTAAATGACTAATTAATTCTAGTTACTTAACACGCAATAAGCACACTAGTCATTCTTCTGTGTGTTTATTTATGAGCTTCCCTATAAATTAGATCTTTTTAGAATTCTATGTTGTGTCGTAAAGACTAATGTGCAGACTCGATTCAAATGATTCCAATTTTGGATGCTCAACTCTACAGATGAAACTATCAATTGAGGGATTGCGAGGTAAACACGAGGGAATGTGAGAGAGAATATATTCTTTTCACTATATTTTTTTAGGTACTACACTATGTCTCAATCCATCGAAGATGCTCTACTTGGGAGTAATGTTCTTGTTGTCTGAATAGCTCTCAACTTGCAAATTAGGAGTGAAAACAACAAGCAGATGGATAATATATTCCACACGCGATGCCTTGTCAATTGTAAGGTATGCAGAATGATCACTGACGGTTATAATTATGCTAATGTGGCAAGGTTGACATACATCAAACATCCAGATCCCTACTGGTTACGGTGGTTGAATGAGTGTGGTGACATCCAAGTTACTGAATAAATCATATTACCATTCTCCATAAAAAAATATCACGAGGAGGTATGTTGCGATATTATATCTATCCATACCAGTCACTTGATACTTGGGAGACCTTAGAAGTTTGATAGGTAGGTACAACATTACGGCTACATCAACCGATAGTCATTGTAAAAAGACGGCCTGAATCATGCTCTTATGCTGTTATCACTAAAAGAGGTACATGAAAATCATATCAAAATTAAATGGTCATTTGATGAATACTCAAAAAGGGTAGAAGAGAGAAGGAAAGTCGCAAAGAAAGTTAATGGCTCATTAAGCATAAAGGTTGCCCAATAAACAACTAAAGATGGTTCATTAAGAGAAAAACAAAGAGAGAAAATAATGGAGTGTCCTGAAGACAATGACAAAATATTAAGGAATATCTCTTGTAAAAAGGGAAGTTTGATTGTACTTACCTACAAGGAGATTCATTTTGACCTTAACCACTCTTTGCATAGTCATACTATTTTGCTCTTACAACTAATTACCATGGCAAGTGGACTACAAAGATTTGGTCTAGATCCCGGAGGAATTTTGAATCAAGCCATGACATACACCAACAATAGGGTAAATATGTTAGGGAAGTATGGTTTATCTTCTATTATAATTATTAATCTTTTTCCTCATGATGAAGGTCCATATTCGAGAACGAATCTTTTTGAAGGAGGGATGATGTGATTCTATACAACCAAAATTAGTTTCAAATATGCACTCTTGTATCAATAAGGAACACCCAGAGTAAGAAAATAATTTCATCCCTGAACATTTTCCTAATTGGGATTATTCCAAGATATGAGCCAAGTTTGTCCAACCTAGAAGGCTTAAGACCAACGTAAGATTAATGAATTTGAATAATCAAAAGAAAGTCTAATCTTTAGGCTTAACTCGAGAAGGTATCAAGGCCTTATGGTCAAGAAGGGCCACGATCCAAGGATGTCGCAACCATGGGTAGCCCACGCTTGAGGAATATGGCCCACATACGCGCACCACGTGCATATGTGCTGCAAGGCTCGCACGCATGCAGGTTCAGGCCGGGCAGCAGCCCCACACGCACAGACAAAGGGGCCCGCAGGCCCTGCATGCAGAATTAGCTGCACGCGCAAGCCCATGAGGTTGAACGCGTGCGCTTCGAGCGGCCAACCAAGAACGAACCTAGCCAACCTAATGGGCGCCTAGCCCAACCCATGGGCCTGCCTTACGCGTCCCGCGTGGGCTGGTCGGCCTAACCTGATCGGGTTGCCCTAAAATTGACCCTCCCCAAATTTTAATTATTTAATAATTATTTTATTTATTTAAAGATTTTTGGGATCAACTTTTTAATTACTCATGTTTTAAATTAAAATTCCACATGCTTAAAATAATTTTCACATGTATTTTACATGGAATTCACATGAGATAAATATTAAATTATTATATTATAAGTTTATTCTTTAGAATTATTTAATTAATTTATTTAAGATAGAATAATTATTTTACTATGTAACTATTATAAATTTAGATAGAATTTTATTTAGGGTATTATTTTATTAAATTGTTTCAAGAGTTTGTATTCATTTAGATTGTTCAAAAAAAAATTATA